AGGTTTTCCCTGCTGGGTCTTGCTCCAGACAGCAGGGGTCACCACAGCCCAGCAAGTACCCCCACTACGTCACAGACCCCCAAAGAACCTCACTCCCCGGGAAGCAGTGCAAAGCGCCGGGCAGACCCCCAAAGAACACCTGCCCCCCTTTCCCAGGCCGACAGGTCACCCCATTGGTCTCTGTGCCCAGGGCGTTCAAAGAAGCTCCCCTTACTGGTCCCCGGGAGCCAGACAAAATTTCCACAAGCCAGAGGGACCCCTGCAGCTGCCTCCTTCCCAGCACTAGCCCCTAGAGCAGGCATGTCCAAAGTCCGGCCCGCAGGCCAATTGCGGCCCGTGTTCCGGTTTAATACGGCCCCACAGGTAATTTGGCAATATCTATCTTTTATGGCCCCCAACGAATCCATATGTATTGAGAAGAATACATTGTAAAATCTCAGTTAATGTCAGTTGGTCTAAATCAGTTATAAATATATTTGGACACAACATGTATACTTGGTGTTATGTTCCTGTTCATATTTTTTGAACTTAAAAGTTGACAGACAACCTTTATTACCAATAATATGTAATGTACTTTACAATGTTCCTGACATATATTTCAGCTTCCTGGATTTTTTTTTTCATCTGGCCTTCAGATATGAAAGGCAGAGTGATTTAACACCTGTTTAGATTTGTCATCCATGTGACGAAATGAAAAGTATGCCGTTTGCAATAAACTTTGCATAAAATAGTTAATTTGCATTTAATTTTAATGGTTCAAAGAATGTCAGGCAAAATGGTCGGCCCTCACGCATGTTCACTTCATCAAATCTGGCCCTCTTTGAAAAAAGTTTGGACACCCCTGGTATATAGCATTCCTTTGTATCAGGGAAGATCTAGAATTCAGAATGACCTTAGAAAAATCAATTAGCTGAATGTGATGAGATAAAGAATTCAAAGCCCTCTGCGGTGAGCGAAAGGCCCAGGCTGGCCACGTCTGGAAGAGGCTCCATTCCTGGCCATGCGGGTCAGAGCTCATAACTCAGCGCGTCTTTCATCCGCTTCCATCGCCCGCCATTTGCTTGCACGCCGGGCCAAAGCAGCGCAGTTTCTGAAGCACCAAGTCCCACAGCAATAAGGCAGAGGGGCCAGGAACACAGGCCGACGCGGGCCTGACAGGCGGACAGAACGCAACCCCGTTCCAGAGCACCCCTCTCCCAGCGAGCGACGGAGGCTCATAACTCAGCGCGTCTTTCATCCGCTTCCATCGCCCGCCATTTGCTTGCACGCCGGGCCAAAGCAGCGCAGTTTCTGAAGCACCAAGTCCCACAGCAATAAGGCAGAGGGGCCAGGAACACAGGCCGACGCGGGCCTGACAGGCGGACAGAACGCAACCCCGTTCCAGAGCACCCCTCTCCCAGCGAGCGACGGAGAACCCAGGAGGAGAGGAGAGGCTGGAGCTCTCGTTTCACACACACACTGGAAAATTACTGCAGCTGTGGTAAGGACGTTTGTTTTACAAGTGAAATCAAAAAGGTAACGGGATTCCTGGCCCAGTCGGACAGGCCTGATCGCTTTTCCTTGCGCGGAGCCCCTCCTCCACAAAAGCAAATCCAGCGAAGGCTCTGCACGGCACCTGTGCAGCGCATCGGGGGTGACCACGCAGAGGACAAAGTGAGGCGCAGGACAGGGCAGGGGTGAGGAGAAAGGGGGGACACAGCCAAGAGCCCGAGGCAAGAGCCCGAGAACCGCGAGCGCGGGGGCTGTGAAATCGCTTCCCCCTCTGGCCACGCCTGGGCCAGGGAAACAAGCCTTTAAACCTCACGCTCAAGAGTTAAAAGCAGGGCTACTCCACTTGGAAGCCCTGGGGGCCACGGGGATACTCACAGCGCATGCCGAGGGCCGCAACCTCAGTGTGGTTGCACAGACATGCACATCTCTATGCAAATCTATGCAAACAGCGTCTTTCACACTGAGGGGCATGAGCACACAGAGTAAGGCAGGACTGCACAACACGCAGGCCCCATTTCAGTCAGTCCTGCTGATAGTAATTGCAACATTTACCTGATTCCCACCCATATGGCAGCACTTTGAATGAGCAACGACAGTCCAGGAATTTAACTACGAAAACGCATCTCAAGGGAAGACCATTCTATTGGAGCGTGTTCCCACGTTCAGAGGATCGCACCCGCGGGCCGTGTGTGGAGACCCGCGTAAATCCAAACCGCACCGCGGGCCGCAATTGAGCAAACCATGTTGAGTCGCCCAAGCTTAAAGTATTCTCACTCCAGGGGGCTAAAAAGGGACCCCACGTGGGGGCAGAACACCCCACCCCCACCTCACGGGTGCCTACACCACCCTCTGCAGCACCTGTGCTGCCTCTACCGGAGACCAGGCCTCTGTGCCACCCGACGCAGCGTGGCTTCCGGCACTGCTCCTCCAGAGCTTGCTGGCACCGCCAGGGTTAACACATTAATGCCTATGTTACTGACTACATGCCATTTAAAAACACGTCCGTTACAAAATTCACTGACTTATTCCTAGACATGATCCGGGCCTCAGTTTCTCAATCTAGGGCACAGGGACTGTGCCAGCTGCACCCAGAAGCAGCACACGGCTCAGTGTGCGTATTCAGCTGAAAGGTTCACAGGAGAGCGAAGCCTCGTCGCGAGCAGGCAAGAGACCCCAACACCCTTTCACTATTAACACGAGTAACACCCTAGTGTCCTAGGCTGGCTCCTGGCAGCAAACGCACCTCGAGAGCCTCCTCTTTCATCACCGCCGCGCCCCCACGCTCACGTCAGTCACGCTGCTTCAGCGAGGCTAGCGAACCCACATCTCAGACTGGGCATCCTCCCCTGTCACCACGCAGTACTGAGGGTACATCTAGATGACAAGCCTCTTTCAAAAGAGAGTGTCTAGACTGCAACCACTTTTCGAAAAAGCAGCCGCTTTTTTCGAAAGAGCACCCAGGCACGGGTGGATGCTCTCTTTCGAAAAAAGCCGTGTGCATTCCATAGCACCTTTTCGAAAGAGCACTTTATTCCTCGTAAAATGAGGTTTTCCGCGGTCGAAAAAACTGCCATGTTCTTTCGATTTACTTTCGAAAGAATGCAGCAGCAGTCTAGATGCAGGGGAAGTTTTTTCGAAAAAACCCTGTAGTCTAGACACACCCTGGGGTAAGAGGAAATTCATCTGCAGGAGCTCAGTCCCATCACCACTATTCACACGCGCGTCATCTCCTACCGCCACGGCCCACAAACAGCGCCACTGAAGGCATGCAGCTTTCTCATGGAGAAGTTACCAGCCTGGCAAATGGTTAGGCATGGACACCAGGGGCTGGGGAGAGCCCCAGTGCCCTGGGCACAGAACTGTCCTTCCCGGTGAAGTCAGGTTCTAAGAGACTCATAGAGGCACGGCCCCAGGGCACCAGCATCCTACAGCCATGGCCTGACATTTCACTTACTTGTGCTGCCTTGGAGCGCGAACCGCCTTTCAATTCCCCCTCTGCTCCACTGTCCTGGTCCTCCGCCGCCTCCTCCTCTGAGCTGCTGTCGCTCCCCGAATCCTCCAGCCCCGAGTAGACGCTCTCTTCGCTGTCTGTCAGGCCATCGCTTCCCTGGTCATGCTCCTCCATGGCTTCAGCGCGGAGAGCGGAGGACTGAAAGGAGAGCACAGGCATCACAGCACAGAACCCCTCGCGGCCGGTCTCCCCCGGCCAGCCTGGTCACAGCTCCAGCTTGAGAACTTGCTTTTGAATACGCTGAGGAAAAGGTGCTCGGGGCAAACTGCAT